ATAGGAAGTATATGCCCCTAAAATATCTTGCACCAGATGTACAATTTGAGGAAAAATACCCAATAAGTTATGATTTATCGATAATTGTATAGCTTTAACAATTAACTACAACAAATTCTATAAATTTGTGACCACGATTTCTACGTCCCTCGAAACGCCTGCCATATTTCAAGTCCAACTTAAGTCGATATTTTGTGAAACGCCCGAAGGTCTCAAAAGACCCTTCCTTATATAAATAGTCAGTCTCCCCTTTAAATAATCCGATAGCCCTCAATAAGTGATTTCCTAATTTGTCTGTACTGGGTTGCGGGAAAACAAATATTATGCTCCTCCTGATGCCAAGGCCTTGGTAGGAGTTGTTAGACCTTTTTGTTAAAGTCTGGTTAATTTCCCTCTTTTTGTTATCAAAGAATAAGTAGATGCACAATTATTCACAGAATGAAAAGGTAAAGAAAAAACTACAAATTTGTGCTGGTAAAAGCTGGCAGTTTCATATTTCCATTTCCGTTAGTTCATATAAAGTCGTAGGTTTTTTTGTTTGATTGAGCATGCAATCAAAAAGCAAGACCAAAACATGCTCACCCGTTTCACAGACATACGCATAAATACACACACACACACACACACACACACACAAACGAAGTTTCTTTCCTTTATTTTTAATAGATTGTGACAAGAAGCTCTGTGAAAACAGCTGGTGCGAGGAGACTATGGAAAGTTATCTGTGCCACTGTTCAGCTGGATTTCAAGGGAAACATTGCGATGAGCGTAAGAACAATAATATTACAAAAAATGGAGTTCTGATAAAGGTTTGAAAAGGAAACATAATAAGGATATTTTGTGACATTTCCTATTCTTTTCATGTCATGTGAGTTTTGATGAATATCATAGCAGTAGACCTAATAGTAGCGATGGTAAATGGTTAAAGAAAGTTTGAATGTGCAGAAAGTAGAAGAAGGTATATTGAGGAGAAAAGAAAGAGCCCTGATTAGGAAGATGCGTGGCTCGGAGTTTTTTCTGATAGAAAGAACATTAGTGAACTCAAGGAAAGTTTAGGTCATTTACCTGGTTTTAGATTTTATTTTTCTTAATACTGGCAATTTTGTTCCGCCTTCTCGCTTTGTCCCCCCCCCCCCCTTTCCCTTGCCAAATCCCTTATATAAAGAGAGTATATCCCTTTTTAAAATTTGTTTTCTTCAAACATCATGGAAATTGGCACGATTCAACGTTTTGTCTATCATATGAAATCCCAAAGTCGAAGGTTTCATAAAATGTCAGTAGATGGGGCTGTGGTCTAATCACATACATAATTTACAAGTATGTGTGAAATGCTGGGGAGAAACAAAGCTTAGCTTAATAGTGAAGAGATCTTTATTTTTTTTTTAAATTTTAAATTTTAAATTTATTTATTTCTGTTACGTTAGAAATAGATGTATGGAAGAGCAATAGGGGACTTAGGAATAGGACAATTAAATAAAATTGAATGAACAGAAAATAAAATGGTAGCGGAATAATAGATTTTTGAGGAGACAAGTTTAAAGGTACTATGTCCCATTTGCAGGCCAAAAAAATAAAAAAGTTAAATTCCAACTGCATTTAAAAGATAATACTAATTTAGAACTTCCCTAAAAAAAATGGGGCTTGAAAATGTCTTCAAGTGGGAAAATAACGACTATTAGTTTAGGGCTATAGAGCCCAAAAGTAATAGTCTTGATTTTCAGACAATTGTACCGAATGGTCATACGTTTTATGCTGCGCAAAGATTCAATCAGTTTAATCTTGCCATCACAAGAAGTGGGTTATTGATGTAGACAAATGCTCATGTACCCTTTACAACTCTTTTCATGTATGTTATTACCAAAGAAGAAAAAAGCCAGTCAGTCACTCAATAGTGTCTGACAGTGAAGTCTAGCAAGTAAACGGGTTTCCTTGCAAAATTTGAATATGAGGACACTGCTAACGTTTAAATTTCACAGATAGGACATACATGACATATTCATAATTCCTGCAAAGTTCTACAGAATTTGAGGTTGGCTGCAAAAGGGACATAGTACCTTTAAGAAGATGAATAAGGGAAAAAAAAACGAACAAATCAAACAATGTCTACAGCCTTTATTTCTGTTAACAAGAAATAATGCGTGTTTCTGTTGTACTTTTCTGTCTTGAATAGTAATGTTTTACTTGTTTTTTGCTAATAGAAAACATAATTTATGTCTTAAGTTCAGTCCAGTTGAATGAAATTTATTAGAATGTAATTCAAATTCAAATTCTAACTTTGCTCAAATTTCCTTTGTTATGATTGTCTTCACCAACACCAATCCGCAAACACGCACACTCCCATATACATACTCCATTTCACGCATGTACACGCACCCACCCATCCCTACCCCCAATACACATACACGCACAATACACGCAACCACACCTCACACACACACACACACACACAAATGCACATACGTACACACCCTCATGTGCTATTAGTGGCGAACGACTCATGCATATAAGTGATAAACGTGCATTGAGAATATGTGAACTTTTAGGCCCTCCCAGTACGTTTTCGTTTGTTTGATCACATTCTGCTGTCCAAACAAAATGCTTACTAATGGATGGTAAGCCATTCAAAGATACTCCATCTTCAGGAACCATTTTATTACCAGAATTCCATATCATTTCTTAAAGACAAGACTGCTGTGTTCTGGTAGAGATAACAAACAAATTCCAAACTTTCTCATACTTTTTATGTTGATTCGGAAAAAGATAAATGAAAAATAATAATATTGACCTCATATTTATCATGTAACTATAGATAGCTGAAAAAAAAATCGAGCTTATAATTAATATGATTAATATTTATATTATAACTATTTCTATTACTACTATTCATTTTACCATTATTAGTATATGTATTATCATTACTATTATCATTATTATTATCATTATTACTATTTCTTTTTTTTTCGATGATTCCACGCCTCACAGTTTGCAGCAGTACCACATACATTCGCCAAACAAAATTTCTTTCTTCATAATAATCGTTGAATCAAATTTAAAAAAAAAATAGTAATTCGTGGAAATGGCACGGTGCTACTGATTACTAATCAACTATTGTGTTGAAAGCGTATTAGCTAACAAATAATTGATTTGTTAAAAGCCGTTTTTGTTGTTGAGCGATCTTCAGTCACACAGGTGAAAGAGACATAGGGAGAGAGAGAAAAAAACAAAAGAGAGAGAGAGAGGGGGGATAGAGGGACTGGGGGGGGGGCAAATGCTTCTATCTCCTGTAGTCTTGCCAATAAAATACAAAATGAATTTTTTATTTATCAGAAACAAAGTTTGACTAGACAAAATTGGCAAATATGAACTCCATCACCAAGTTGACATTTTGTTTATTGTCGCCAAGGCAACTAGGCATAATGAGTAAAACACTATGAGAAAGTTGATCCAGTCTATTTACAATATTTTAAAGAGATAAAGTAATCATAACAGTAAAAGAGGGCCACAATCCTTTGCATTCGGGAGGGGGATTTGAGATCATGGGGATTAATACTTAATTAATTTGTCGGGGGAGGGGGTATACCGCCCCAGAAATGTACCAGCATTATACAAGTTTTGATATTGGTTTGGTAAAAGTTGTTCTTTTGATACATCTTTCCACAATTCTGACTGCCGAAACGCAAAGGGGCAGAACAATGTTTAAATTTGAACTGTAGATCTCATGTGATCCCTCGTGGGGTTATTTGTTAGGCCTGTAGATGATTTCAGAATTACATCATGGTTCAAATGAAACCGAATATCCACATATATTTTATACAGTCGTGGAGAAATCACACTTCGTGCATTTCAGATTAATCATTGCCAGCAAGCGGCATTTTTAATTCACATTTCACGAACCTATTACGATAGGTGACCCCTAGACCCCCTAAATATCCTTTATCAAAAGCCATTTTTCTCGTTCTTCCTGCTCTTGTTCTTGTTTTTATTCTCCTTCTTCTTCGTTTCATGATGATGATTTTTTTATCATTATTATTATTATCATTTTCATCATGATGATTATTATTATTGTTATTATCATCATAAATGTTATTGTCGGTATCATTATTATAGTATTATTATTGTGATCATCATTATCACCATTATCATCTTTATTATCATTCAATGCTTTGTATGAATCCTGTGTTTCGACAGAAGCACCATCAGCCATGACTCACTTCACTGACATGTCTACGATCATACCGCCCGAAATGACGCAAGTCACCGCCACGGCCGGTGAGCATTTCATATCATTCCCGTTGCACGCAAGGTTTCATTTAGCTGATGTAGGACTGTGTATGTAAAAATCAATTCTATGATGGCTAGTAATCTATAAGTATTATTGTCTATACGGTGTCACATTCATACGATGCGTCAAAGACGACACAGGTCGCTAACGCAGTCCTACGTCAGGCGAATGACACCTTCCGCTCAACGTCCGGCGTTATAACCGCTATATGTCTCTTGCAAACGGAGCGTCATTCTTGTGACGCATGGCTGAATTCGTGATTTGTGTGGTGTTTGACGCACCATTGGACAGTAGCATTCAGGGATTGTCAACAAAATGAATAAAATATGAACAGTACAAGGGTCATTTTGAATTACTGACTCGCACTCTTTAGTCCTCATCTTTTGTTGCACTATATAGCAGCAATTATTGTTCATAATAAAATTTAGATTATCAGGCCATTAGAGTCTAAACGTGTTATTTCTCTCAATGAGATGTTTTATTCAATCATTCAGGATCTAAAGCGACTTAATGAAATGTAAAGTTATTTTAATCCTCCTAGTGCGCCTTTTGGTATAATCACCCCTCCTGTTACTTGTCAACTTGACATTTTCTATGTGTACAGCTTTACACTGTATTGTTTCAGCACAACACCAAGTACCAAGCAAGGATAGATCTTTTTCTATGAGAGGCTGGTCCTCTGACCTACACCACCTTTGTTTTTCCTATCAGTTCCTAGACTCCCACGTGACTGCGCTGAGATTCAGACTGGTGGACTATCCCATCTCAGTGGGGTGTATCCCATCTATCCCGATGGAGTTGGGGATGATCCTCTCTTCGTTTACTGTGATATGGAAACGGACGGAGGTCGCTGGACGGTGAGAAATGATGATAGCTCGAATTTCAACTTCATCAACCCCGTCCACTTTTAAAATGATCGCATAGATTTTCAAAAAACACTAAAGCAAGTATCTTCGAAAAATTAACCTTGCCTTGTGCGTCATCCATTTAAATGTATGTAAACATTTCAATAGAAAAAAAAATTCTTTAGGGAATACAATAGGGTATTACAATTTCCTTTTAGATGATTTTTCGAAAATGGATCGTATTAAGAATCAAATTTTGGGTAATATATACCCTGTATCCTATTTCATCCATCAACATTTTCCCACTCTCCGCCCTGGTGTCAACAGGTACCTGCTAATTGCTGGGCCCTCATGATAAATAGAATCGATATTGCTTATTGATATTGATTTGGTTGATCTTTTAAAAGTCTTTGCCATCGCATTATTATTATTGGAGCGAAACGTGATAACAGCCACTCTTCTTCGTGTTGCTACACTGTTCAAAAGTAATTACATAAACTTTGATAACACACATCGCATCTTCAATCATCGCAAGTGTTATTAATGTTCTGAATTAATAATTAATACACACACACACACTCTCTCTCTCTCTCTCTCTCTCTCTCTTTCTTTGTCTCTCCCTCTCTCTTTGTCTCTCCCTCTTTCTCTCTCTCTCTATGCCTCTTTTTTTCTCTCTCTCTTTCTCCCTCTCTCGTTCTCTATCTCTTTTTTTTCTTTTTTTCGCCCCCACCCCCTATCCCTCCCTCCCACTCTCTCTGTAGGTATTCCAGCGTAGACAAGATGGATCTGTTGACTTCTTTCTTAACTGGTCCGAGTACAAACACGGTTTTGGAAACGTTTCCTCCGAGCACTGGCTCGGTAACGACAACATCCACCGTCTTTCCCGTAATAAGACCTACGAGCTACGGATCGACCTACAAGACTTCGAGGGACAAACGCGCTATGCCGCCTACAGCAATTTCAGTATTACGGACGAGGTCGCAAAGTACATCCTGGCCCTTGGCAGCTACTCCGGAGACGCAGGTATGTAATAGGGCGATCCCCTGCAATGTGGCCTGTACATAATATTATTCATTTTAAGTCATCACAAATGTGGTTCCTCTTGGTATCACTGATATTATTAACTGGCACAATCAATTAAGGTGTCTGTTTTTCTTTTTTCTATATGGAATAAATGGGGGTATGTCGTATTGGACCAATGCGGAATCGCGGAATCGTCCAAAGGTACAGTAATATGGTACTACATGATATGCTATACGGTAATATGTTAATACGGGAGGCTAATTCGGTAAAACAGTTTTTTTTTTTAAATTAAAAAAAGGAATTCTGTATACTGTAATTTCTTAATATTGTTCATTGTAATACGGTTAAAGGCCCTGTGGTAATACAATCATACATTTATACGGTTAAACGATAAAACGGTTATCGTTAATAGTGTCATGGGGGAAAATCTATTTTTACAGTTAATATACGATATTAAGGTAAAACGGTATTAACTATCAAACGCTCTCTCACAGTGACGAGGTAAACGACAGCAGTATTTTTTTTTGGGGGGGGGGGGGGAGAGGAGGGGATTTGTGGTTGAGAGTTTTTGTTTGCTTGTTTTTGTTTTATTTAACTCGTAATAGGATATCAAGTCGAGAAATGAGGGGTTGAAAAAAGTATCAATGAATAATAACGAATACTCCCAAACGCATCTGTCTGTTATATCGAAATACAGAAGACACAGCATTCACCGATGGACAGACAAACGGACGGCTTCGTACAATACATACACGCAGCCTCAAATCGAGTACGGGGAGATCGTATCTATTTTGAATTGATTTATATCATGTGTAAACCATAAATCAATTTCTCATTTCTATGCAGGTGACAGTATGTCGTATCATGAAGGTTATCCGTTCAGTACACTGGACCGTGATCATGATGGTTTAGGGGGACACTGCGCCGACCTGTTAAAAGGAGGCTGGTGGTACAATGATTGCCATCATGCCAACCTAAACGGCCTATACCTGAACGGTCCAACCACACAAGCGGAGAACGCGGCCAAGGGTGTGGTATGGTATCACTGGCTCGGTTATACATACTCCCTCAAGAAGACGGAGATGAAGCTTCGTCCGACGTAATTAACGAACGCCTGTCATAAGAACGTGCCGGTTTACCGTGGGGTTTCGTAAGCACATTTAAAAACACCGGAATTTACATTTTGTATTTTATCACACACAGCTTCTCAGCTTTTTCACTTTGATAACGAAACATATAACAACTTCCTCAAAACAGTGTTACTCATTTTAGTATCGGCTGAACATGAAGGAAGTTATGCCGGGTTGCTGTAATAAGTATTCACTTAAATAGATAATAATCCTAAATTTTCGAGGGTTATTTGGAAAATAAGTACTGTAATATTTTTTACGTATGTTTGAACATAAGGAAACTTCAATTAGATTATTTGCTAAATGTTGTCTGGCATTATTTAATTATTTCCCACAAGAATGTCAGCAACAAAAAAGATGCGGTGAATCAAGGGCGGATCTAGGGGGTTCGGCAGTTTAACCCCCCCCCCCCCCCCTTGGGCGGCCAAACGAGAAAAAAAAAGGGAGAAAAAGAAGGGAAAAGAGGAGAAAAAAGGGGGGGGGGAAAAGGGGAGAAAAAGAAGGAAAAGAGAAGGAAAAAAGAAGGAAAAAAGAAGAAAAAAGTAAAGCAGTGCAATTTTTGGAAAATCCTGAATCCGCCACTTGGTCAAACACCCCTTTAGAAAAAAACTAGATCCGCTCGTGTGAATTGTATCCATGTATTTAGAAAAGAAGCAGAAATAGAGAAAACTACAAATATTGTATTTTTTCCTTTGCACCTTGTAAATACATAAGTTTTAAATATTGAACTAACGTGTTTAATAAACTTTATCATTGCTCATATTGTTATTAGTATTATTATTACCATCATAAATGTATTGTAGAAAACGTACTTCAAAGAAGAACCTATATGTAGGGAATTTTAGAGATAGATATTTTACGATCACAGTTCTTGCATTCCTGCGTATAAAGTAACAGTCAATCTACTAGTCATCCATTTTAAACGGACACACATTGATGATGAAATAATCGTTAAATATTATTAAGCCTCGATGTCCATGTAGCACTTTTCGTTTTCAATACTTATATCAAAATGTAAGATGCAATTTTTTTTTAAATCTCATTTAAATAATATCTCGTTTAAATCTTTGTCTTTGTTCATAGACTTCTGGAATTTTCAACAACATCTCATTCTTATTTCACCCATTTATGGAAGGGTAACTCAGTGAAGTGTGAAGGTTGTGTGTGTATCGGGCTATGGTGGGATGGTGAATTTTAAAAGAATAGGTATTTTAAAAAATACCAAGAGAAAAAAGGCTAGGGAAAGAAAACCAATAGAGAGTTAAATACAAGCACCCAATACTAGGACAAGTTGTGGAAATAAATCAAATCCCTCCTTTTCACAGTATTTTCTTGTTTCACTTTTTCCAATATTAATTTGTATTCATTCGAAAAAATGAGAGATAAAACAAAACGATAATTAAGTGAATGCATGTAAAGTCTCTCGTAGAACTTTATAAAACTTCGAATGGCCAATTAAAATGCTACAACGTCTCTGACGTCAGCATGGAAAGTTGTTCATTGCACCAAAGTGAATGTTCTCAGCTCTTTTTAGCCTTGCCGAGTCTCCTATGATTTTGGATAACGGGGGCCGAAATAAACCTTGAATTTCTCGAAATCTCTCTTCTACTGGTAGAGGGACTACCTGTACAGTTTAGCATTGAAGAAGTAGGCTGCAAGATTGATGCAGTGAATTGTATTCATGCATTTAGGAAAGAGGCAGAAAAAGAGACAAATACAGCTTTTTTCCGTTGCCGCCTTGTACATATTATTATTGAACTGATGTGTTTCACAAACATTATCATTGCTCATATTGTTATTAGAATTATTATATATCACCATCATTGATGTATTGTAGAAAACGTATTTCAGAGAAGAGAGTATATGTAGGGAAATATATAGATAGATATCTTACGAACACAGTTCTTGCATTCTTGCATATCAGTAACAGTCAATCTGCTAGTCATCAATTGTAAACAGACACAAATTGATGATGAATCTTGAATTAATATTAAGTATCGATTTGCATTCAGCCCCATTCGTTTTCAATTCTTTTAACGTAGTATAAGAAGCACATCTTATTCATATTAAATTGTTTTTATCTCACATAAACAATCTCTCGTTTATATTTTCGTCTTTGTTGCTACTCTTCTGTAGTTCTCATCATGTAATTCTTAAGGTAACTCAATAAAAGTGTGAAAATCGTTTGTGTATTCGGCGATAATGGCAAGAGGAATTAAAAAAAAATACCAAGAGAAAAACAAGCTATGGAATGAAACCAATATAGACAAGTACACAATCCTAGCCCATGTGTTGTGCACGTGTGTGTGTGTGTGTGTGCGCGCGTGTTTGTGTGTGTGTGTGTGCGTGTGTTTTTTAATTAGGGTTTTATAGACGTGCACCAATCAGATAAGTTATTATAATACCCCCTTTTATAGTATTGTCTTGTTTCACTTTGTCCAATATAAATTTAAATTCATTCGAAAAACATCAGAAGTAAAACAAAACGTGCAATGAATAAACGTCTCCGGTAGAACTTTATAAAACGTCCAATGGCCAATTGAAATGCTACAACGTCTTTGACGTCAGCATGAAAAGATGTTCATTGCACCAAAGTGAATGGTCTCTGCATGTTTTGGCCTTGCCGAGCCTCCTGTGATTTCGGATGAAGGGGACCGAGAAAAACCTTAAAGACCTCGAAAGCTCCCTTGTACTGGTAAATGGAATACTTATACAGCTTAGCATTGAAGAAGTAGGCTGCGAGATTGATTCTGGATAATCAAAGCAATAAAAACAAGTAGCAAAATATCAATGAGAAGGAGAGAGAGAGAGAGAGATCAAGGGGGTAAAGTAAACACTTCTACAGCTTATTATTGTAGAAAAAGGCTGCGAGATTGACTCTGGAAAAGAAGTAGAACGATTCAAAAACTTTTTGTTTTTGATCAGACAATCTGAGAGAGGGGAAGACAAGATATGGTGGGTGTGTGTGTTTTTGCGTTTGCACGCGTGTGTGTGTGTGTGAATACATGTAAAGAAAGGGATCAAGTCGAGAGATTGAATGGGTATGTAAATCTGAGATATACAGCTATCCTTGAAAAATGGACTGTTCACAAAGTCTCCAAATGTATATTTCAAAAGCATCAACCTACTCGGTGTCAATTAAAGGACTAAAAATTGCCTTAAATGTTTATATAAACATCTTTTGGGAGACTTTCTTCAACTACCAACTTCATTATTTTAGATGAAGTATAGAGAGATGAAAGGAGAAGTAGAGAGATTACCTGATGATAAAATAAAAACAAAACACCGGTTTGCCGTTACATAGCGGAGAAAGATAAATAGACAAATGTGTGGATTAACTAGACAAGTATAGGAAATGCCGTATACTTCAATAGTTTCACTCATAAAGTACTCTTACAACTTGAATTTGTGTTATTAAATATCACTACAAATTATGAATTATATTATCCCGGCTGATGGAGCCTGACTACCGATTATAGGTGCTTTATACATGATTGCTTGAATTCCTTTCTACCGGAACCCATTTAACATCCGGGTAAAGAGAGGCAAAAGTATATTAATGTCTTACTAAAGTACACTATAATGTTCAAGCAGGGCTTGAAATCGCAACCTTCGAATATCCAGTCAAGTACTTAAACCACTCGACTACGACACACATCCCACATGTGACTAGCCCTAAGTCTAAGAGGTGAATCGCCGTTTGGTCTGCTGCAGGGATTAACTTACGCCGACTAGCAAAACCCCGTCTGAACATGGCTTATGTAATCTTGAACACGATTGTCTAAGGTTTTCTGGATTCAACTTTTCACTGCGTTGGAGAAACGCAAATGAAGATTGGTGTCTTCCCAAATGGCAACAGTGTTATGTGGCATGGATCTGAGCATTGTAGTACATAGCTCGGTGAGTTATCAACACAACCACGATATGTCTCTATATATCTGTCAACTATCAACGGAGCCGACCTTCTCTTATTGATGGGGAACCCCTGTAACAACGGAGAGACCTATACAAATCTGCCACGAGAACTAGCTCTTGCACTGTAATCTTGAAGACAATTGTCTAAGGTGTTCTGGATTCAGTTTGTTAAGGACGTAACTACAGTACCTCCTTCCTTAATGGCAAGGGGGTGGTTAGAAAGAAAAAAAGGATAGCAGGAATTCTTCATAAAATGATAGTACAATTATATGAATAGATCATACTACAACTTCTCACATCATCCAGTCACGCGATAGCTGATCATACAGATCATTTATTCTTGAACTGGTAAGAAAAAAAAAGAAAAGAATTGTCATCCATCTGATCTGATCATCAGATCCACTCATTTAGAACTTGCATTGGTGAAACTAAGTTCTCATTCACACAGTCTCAGCTATAAAAAAAAAAGGATACTCAAACCGAAATTCAGACTCGATATAATTGGATTACCATGTGCACGCTCTGGCTAAAATATATTTTTCGGGGGAAGGTACCTTTAAAGCGCAGAACCGTAATTGAAATCAGTGACTGGTATAGTAACAATGCTGCAACTGGTTTGATCGGTACATTGTTTTTATTTCTTCTTTTTTAAATAATAAATTGGAAACAGTATTTATAAACTCACCTCATCTAACAAGGCCCTAAGGTATAAGAGTTAGATGTCTGCTAAGCATTATTAACAATCATATCAGTCATGTTGCTAGGTTGGAGAAACAGTATGGGTTACCTTACCTAACAACACGAAATGTGTGCAATTCGCATTCTGAATATTAGGAAAAACATTTATTCGTAAAACTGGTAAAGAAATCATTGTAATGAAGCACAAAACAATGACCCGGTTCAAGATTGAAATGCTGCTTCAACTCTTCAGACAATCTGGGGAGCGAGAAAGATCAATCGAAGAAGATAAACTACTAGGCAGTGAAGTTAATAGGTGGTAGAAAAGGTATGGGTTACCTTACCTAACAACACGTGATATATGCAATTCGCATTCTCAATATTAACATACATTTATTTGTAAAACAGGTAAATGAACTTATTTGTACTGCAGCTCTTCACAATGACTCTTGCATTGAATTTATGTTAAACTTTATTTTGCAATTATATGAGCGGCGCCTTGCATTGAATTTATGTTAAACTTTATTTTGCAATTATATGAGCGGCGCCTCGA